TGCCATCTATACCAACTGGTGCCAGTTCCAGTAGATTACACGCAGTTGATAGCAGGCTTACACAGAATACAGCACAACTTAACACAGAACTTTAGCAGGCAACAAATCAAACAATAAGATGGCACATTTGCTCTTAATCTTGCAGACTTTAAAGATATATATTACTGAATATACTCAGAGTGGCTTTCTAATGAAATTTCATTTACACAGTCACGCTCTGTCAGTCCTCCCAAATAACTAGATGTTCAACACAATTTGACATGAAGAGATATGTTAAAAAAGAAAAAAAAATTACACTCCTACTAAGTCAGTGAAGAACAGGTGCCCAAAACCAGAAATAGTATTCGTTGGCACCACCAGTAAAAGACTGCAGCATGAAGTCAGCCCTTTTTGAACACTAGGGAACCCAGGCAAAAACTCAGTCTTAGGAAACAGGAACTAGGTTATGCAGCTCACACATAGATATTAAAGAGCATCTATAAACCGAGCTACATATGGTATATACTTATTGACGAGTTTTTAGAGGTGTTTTAGAGGCATTCTTCTTTCCCTCTGACTGAACAGAATTTGGAAGAAGTCAACATGGATAAGCATCACCATTAGTATCCACGCCACACAATTCTCATTTGAATAATATTTATCCAGCAATACTTGAATAATTAAAATTGAAGTAATATCAAAGTGGTTGCAAAACACTTTTCTTCTAGTTATCTTGAGCATTCTTATAATTTTTCCTCATATGCCAGGAACAGTTGAGTATACCTGTTAAACTGATTAACAAAAACTTAACAAAAATAACAATGCAGTGGAATACTGCATTACTGAGATGAGTCTGGAGCTTTTTTCCCCTAAAAAGTTACACAAAAACCCCAATGTTCAAATAACATCATTAAGTTTATTAAATGAGGCAATTAGAGGAATGACATAATTAGAATTGCCTTTGCAACACTCTGCTTTATATTATAAATTGACTCTTCAGGACTAAATCAGATTTTTTTAAAAGAGAAAAAGGAAACCATTGCTTATGCAGCTGAATGGTAACCCAAAGAACTGCAGTCTGTTCCTATTTTTGCCACAGACTCTTATGTGATGCATGGCAGGTCAATTTTATCTTTTCACAGTCAGTTATTCAGATAGTGAGGAATACATAATGAACACTTGATTTGTAACAGCCCACACAGAGCATTAAAATACATTAAAAAGCATCAAGTGCCTTTCTCCCAGATGAAATTCATAGCCCTGACATATGAATGTAGGCTCCTTCACAACATATTGGGAAAGTTTGGGCAGTTCAGAATGCAGTTCACAAACCAACACACAGCTAGCCTATGGAAACTTTCAAAGAGCAGAGGTGTGTTTTAAGTTTTCCCTTCCCATGGACCCAACGACCAAACTCACGGCTACAGGGGAACACGCTGAATGGCACACGCTGCCTCAAACTCTTCTTAGATGTTCAAGTTTCTCCCTCAAAATCAGAGAAGGTGTAATGTTTCTTTAAGAACAGGACAAGCAGCAAGAAGAAGCCCATAATGAATTCCTTTTAGCCAGCAGCTCAGTGTTTAGAACACTTGTCCTGGCTCCTGCATTTTAGGTTCTCCTCAGACTGACACCTCCAAGTTCTGTAATAGTGCCCTCGAGCTCCTCGTCACTATTTTGTTCCTTTTGCCCTTCAATCACCACTTCTTACACATTTGCAGTCTTCAGTCACAAGCCCATTTTTGTTTATTTTGCATCATATGAGCCATCATAGCAGAGTTTTAAATTTCCCCTTCCTGCTCAGCCCAGACCAAAGCACTTCTAGTAGAAAAGGAATTTGTGTAATTCAGCTGCTATATAGCAGTTACTTACTATGTAGTAAATTCACATTTTTTAGAAGTCATAAATATATAATGCTAGTAAGCTTGCCTAATTTTCACATAAGTGGCAAGAAACGCTTCTTTTACACAAAGGTCAATCCCAGACATGTTTAGTTCCTTCTTGAGTCCAAGGATAAGGCTGCCAGGAACATTAGCAAAGCAAGGTATTCTTCCCCAGCCTTGTGGTGGCCTAAGTTTTTCCCCAAAAAGCTTGAGGTAAACACACGGGCCCTGAAAAAAGGGATATTGTAACGGGATGTCAAGCAACATACTACCAACCCTACTTACGAGGCACACAGCCTAATCTCTAATCATTTCTAAATAACATCTCTGCCATAGAAACTAACAATACTTAGTGCAGCAGTAATCAGACTGTAACAAAGCTGTTTACTCTGTAGCTTCAAATTCCTCATTAAAACTAAATCATACCAAAGGTTGGTTTGCTTGTTTTTTTAATTATTATACCCTTATATATTTGCTATCTATTTTGTAAGCACAGTGCCCAGAAAAGACTAAAACATATTATGAAAGAAAACACGCTTTCAACTCAGTGTCTGTTTACAAAAATGACGGCTACCCATACCAACATTTTCAGACCAACCTCTTCTTATTGCAGAATAATATTTTATATGCAAATGGATAGCTTTTGAGGTCTGAGCAATAAAAATGGTTCCAATCCTCAACTCATACAGCTTCTGCTTGGCAAAAGGGAAAGTTTTAAGGATGCCTGAAGATCAGATTATCCAAATTTCCAACAAAGATGAAAGACAAAGTAGAAACTAGAGTGCCCTGGGGGGGGGACATGACACCACTGTATCTGGGAAGAAAGATATATGTATTTATTGTAATAGGACAACTATCTACATTCCAAATGGATTTACAGAAAAGGAAAATAAGGAAAATCACCCTAAAAAATGACCCTACTCCTCCAAGATACACTGTACATTTGATGTACTACATCAAAGAAGACATCACATGCAGAAGGTGAAGAAATTTACCAAGAGAATGAGCCTCCATACCACATTCGGTTCACTGACTGAAGATTAGTATTTTGCAAAGCACAAGTCCTTTTTTAACTTTTTTTAAGTATAGAACATGTAAGATTAAAAACGTCAAACAAAACATCTGTAGCCACAAAAAGTTAGGTGATTAATAGCTGCAGGAAACTGCAACTTTTTTCACCACTTGGTGGTTTTACCTAGAATAGTGTTTTGTTATTATACAACATATAAAGCAAATTAAACTTGATAAGTGAACACGCTGTAACATGCCATGAGAACCTCTGAATGTCACAGAACAGGTTAGTGCTTCAAACTGCATTGCTTCACTTGGTATTACAGATCATGAGATCTTCTGGATTACCACATTTCAGCTCATGAAAGGTTGAAGAAACTTTAATATCCTATTTCTAGCAAACTTTGAGTCACAGAACAAGGCCAGGACTTGAACAGGCAAGCCACAACATTAACTATTTCTAGAAGATCCATATCAAAACACTTCCAGAGCAGAAGCCGAGCAGCTAGTGGAAAAAAATAGCTGATACATTGGCTGAACACACTCTTAGAAAGTCCCTCCAAGTATTCCCTGAAAATTTTACAGGTATTATGACCTGAAGAAGCACAGTATTTCCAAAGTAACTTAAAAAAACAAACAAACAAACCACCAACATGTTTTTGCACTGCTCAGGCATACAAAACTGAAACTGAGCCTCATGCTCACACCTCAAAGTTTCTTCAAATTCAACTTCAAAGTTTTGTCAATGTGAGTAAAAATCCATGCAGGTATTTTGACAAAACATGACCTGAAATAAGATAGTGGTGAAAAACTAAGCAAACTAAGAATAAAATATGGTAAATGTTAGTAAGGTTTTACCTTGCAGGTAATTCTGTAGTCTGTAATTCAAGATTGTTTTTTTCTACCCATGTGTTACTAAGCAAAAAAGATCTGCCAAAACCCCATACTTTTGTTATTTTAGGCATAAATTTAGATTTAGAGGTACAACCACACCACAATGCATACTCTCTTCTGCATTACCAGATGAAGATGGAACTATTCACCTACACCATTAACCAGATCTAAAGACACTTTTTAGAAGACTATCCAAGAACAATGGAGAGCAACATCCATGCAAAGTGGAAGTGAGCTTAAAAACCAAATCAAATATTGAGAAGACTAAGGGTCTGAAGACTGACATTTGTTATTCAATTTCCCGTCACTATAAATACAGCTCCTTCATAAATACGCATTTGGTCAATACATTTTTTGATTTCAATTTTTATGTAAGGATTTTGAATAATGCAAAACTAAGTCTACCCACACACGTAGAAAAGTCTATTAAGTTAGTTGTACAGGATGCATGCAGGTGAGCAGTTCTGCATGTATTCTTAGAGGGCTAAAAAGAGAGCCAAAGCAAATTTGCATTATCGTGCCACCGTGTTATCACCCTGTGTTGAATTTAGATGACAAATTTCCCATAGACAACTATTAATCTAGCAGTAACAAAAACATAAAGTAATAATCATTATAAATTTAAAAATCTTTTTTAAAATATGTAAAGTTAAATGCTAAAAGAATACACCAATGATTGAAATTAGCAGTCAGCTATGTTCTTTGTACCCTCACAGGAAGATTCCCAGGTGAATGACAAGGTATTTTGCCATCACAGTGGGCTTGACCACCAGTACCAGAAAAATGTGTCAACAAGAGATGTCAGTTCTTTGATGAGGAGAAAGAGATATAACAGGTTGAAATATAAAAAAATTAGATGCACCTGTTTATCAGCACACTTGCTAAAATGTCTACCCCTATTTTTGTTTCCCGCCTGGTCACAAGGGCTACACAAAAGAATCTCTAATAGAAGACTAAAGCAAAGGAAGCTGCATGGAAACAGCCTTCCCAATGGATACGTTTCAGTGTGTATCCCAAAACTGATAATAAACAGGAATAGGAAGGTGCATGTACAAATGCACCCCAAGATGTTTCCTCATTGGACCCTAGTACCTTTAGTTTATCAGCTGTGTTACTTATTATTCAGTGCTTCAGGAACAAGATTTCCTTCACGCTTTTCAGCAAAAATTAAATTTATCAGAAAGTGCTACTATTAAGCAGATGTGCCACATAATTAGCAACGACAAATCCACTTACTTTTTTCTCCTTCTCATGATGTTTATCCTGAGAGTGAGAGGAAGAATCACTTAAACTTTGATCATATGACCTATTAGATCCCCGTTTGCTCTTTTTCTAAAAAGAGAAAATATATTTATGGATAGAGAAAAGGAACCATTTGAATAAATAAAAAGTATAAAGCATTTCAACTGATAAGATGCCTTACTGCTTGAAGAAAAAAAACACTTCAGTCACTGAAAAGCTGACAAATTACTAACACTAATAACATTAACAAGACTACCCAAAGTATACCAGGAAAAAAACCTATCCTTATATTGACTTTTACACCTCCCACGAATTTGCAAGATATGTTTTCCACAAAGAAATAAGATATGCCACTTTTTAAAGGTTAAAAGATGCTAGACACATTTTCAAGTTTTCATAACATAAAACAGAAAAGATGCTGCTCAAATGAGTATCACATGAAGCCACAGTGCTAGCCCTGCCACATGCTTGACAGGCATTGTGAGGTGGCTGCTTTATGGCTTCATGATTTATTATTCAAGTGACCCGTCTGCAATATTTTCATTAGAATTGTTTAAAAATAGGATACACAATGCTATGGTCATGTATGCATTTACAAGCGGCAGACATAATTGCCTGTATTTCTGTAATGCTTGAGAGCCTAGTCTGGGACCGCAAATACTTTATGCTAGGCCAGCGTTCAAAATGTTATTTTATCATAACTGAGGTAGCATTATAAAGACACTTCAGGTCACTACTTTGCCAACTAAAGTTTTCAGTGGTATAGTAGATATATGCCACCCACCATCTTCAGTAGTAAATACAAAACACCTGTATTTACCAGGCATCAACAATCACAATAATCCTAAAGAAACACTAAATCACTTAAACTACCTTGCCAATCTTTACTGTTATTACCTCTATAGTTTTGTAATTGAAAGCTACCTAATTACATGTCAAATATGGAGTTATGTCTTTATCATTAAACTTGTTTTTTAAATAAACATACGTGTTCTCAATCATAGCAGCACTGGAACATTCAAATCAAATGCATAATACTGTTAAGAGCTTGCCTTCACTGCTAAGTAATAGACCATTTTTGTTCTTTTTGTATACTTGGCTCAAGATAATAATAATAAAAAAATCTTAGCTTAGTGAGGGCCTAGAAAGCCCTGACTTATCTTCAATATGAAGCAAAATCATCAATATTCACAAGAGCACAGAGCTAACCTCACCCAGCTCGTCTTCTAGAAAGCTAAAATGGTTCATTGGCCCTGTATTTTTACCTCATTGCAATGTCTTCAAAACTCACCCAAGTATTCCCCTTTTTTAGCAGTGAAAACAAGTAATCAGCAAGTGTAACTATACTTACAGCAGTATCTGAACTTACGTCTATATAATTTAATTTTCATAATTCAATATTCATAAATAACATTTTTTAAACATCAGTAAGTCCTTCAAGTCCACACACACACACACGTACACAGAAACAGATATCTGGAACTGTCAAACTGATAGGAAGTGATAGGAAAGATTCCAGAGGTCTGATCCAAAACCTACTTAAATAACTGAGAAATGTCAAAGTTTTTTGTTTGCTTGTTTGTTTTTTAAAAATCAAACCTCAAGTCACTTCCTCGAGGTTGTGTTTCAGAGAACTTATAGGCAGGGAATATCCAGTGGCTACATGGATTAGAAATTGAGAATTCAAAAAACCAGAAAGCTTGCTTGTAGCTTTTGTCTCATGAATACAAAGACCTATTAGTTCTAACTACAGGACTGACGGGGGAATTAAGGTATTGAAATGCTCAAAGACTAGTGCTCAACTATATTTTCCACTTTGATTTAAATCCATTCACCAAGCTCTTCCCTGTCCTGCTTTTCCCAATAGTGCTCTTCATGTAAAAGGCTCTATGTTTTTGGGAATGCTGTTGAAGAAAAAAAAAAAAAAAGGGTCATTTTCACAAGAGCATATGCTGCAAACTGAACTTCTGAAGCCACACTAACCCTGCATGGACCCCTGCCACAGTTCCACTGAGCAGCCAGAGATATACGCAGATGTGTAAACACACACCATCCAACCACGTTATAGCTAGTACAGCTTTGAGGGGAGCTAACGAAGGAGATTGCAAAGAATAGCGGCAAGAGTTAAACAGCAGGGCAAGCACACATATAAAAAGAACTCATCATCTCTGATTTAATTTGAGAAGCACTCATCTAACTCTAGCATACCCTGTTAAAAAAAAAAAAAAAAAAAAAAAAAAAAAAAAAAAAGAGAAAAAAAAGAAAAAAACCAAAAAAAAAAAAAAAAAGGAGTAACAGAAGCAGAAAGAAATGGAGGGCTTCTTTATTCTCTAATATGCAGGATAACAAGTAGTATTTTCTAGATTATTCCGAAATGGACTAAATTCCTAGAAGCCAACTAATCAAATAGCAAAAGAAAACATTACAGGAACTTAATGAAAAAACCCACTAAATGTGCATGCTATTCCTGGCAGAGGGGAAAAACCCACACATCTGGAAAGTAACCACTTATAAAAACATTTTCAGTTAGTACTTCTGTAACTGTGATTAAAACATTATTTTAATGAAATACAATCTACTTTCTGAGCTACATGAAAATTCTACTGTTAATAGCATTTCAGAGTGAAAAAATAAGTCAGTGACATTGATTTATAGAATTTAACAAATACATACCAGTTTACTAAAATGGTATTTACAGTAGCCACAGTATTGGACGTTATCTGCACCATTGCCTTCTTCTTCACAAAGAAGTCCTGCGAACTGTGCACTAAAAATAAACCAAACAACATTCAAGAAAAGAAATTTTACATCAACTTGTACCACAATATCACAGCTGATAATGCACAGATACTTATACCTGCATTTAACAGAAGACATTTCCACACAAGTGACTTCTAATGGCATGCGAGCACATAACCGACCTTTGTAGCCCAGTGAAAAACACGTACAGTTTACACTTTGGCCTGATGCCTTTTTCATAGTCTTTAAGCCACTCACACAAGGCTTATAGCTTGAAAATCTACATTTATTATGCACGTACTCCCACAAATAAATAAACCAAGCAATTTCCAATGATTCTTAGCTCAAATTCAAGCCAAAAATCATTTATGGAAAGAATGGCTTTTAACAAAACCATACCGTAGATCCAAAGAAGAAATTTTTCTAAAGTTGCATACATCCTTCTCTGTTTTGCTAGGAAAATTACTTTTTTTTTTTTTTTTTTTTTTTTTAACTAGAACTTCAATGACATAATAAATCAAACCATATTTATTGGTTTAAAAGACTGTGGCAGGTTAATTTCTTTTAAAAAGAATAAGAGTGACAAGTTTCCTTGCCTGGGCTAATTATTACCTTATTCTACTACATTTTTTCAAATCAAATTTGCTTTTCACCATTTGTAATGTTGATTTATTTTCTTTATCAAAACCAAGTTAGACATTGAGAAACCAAATATTCAGTTTCATTTTCCGTATCATTTTCATTAGCATAATAATGCAATGTTACAGTCAAAATGATGCACGTGAGTATTTAAATGAAAGAACAATATATAAGGCAGCTTGTTTTCATTGCTTTTTAAAATCACTTTCCCCTCATTTATACATTATATTCTTGGGCAATACAGAAATACTGCTTCGTAAATACCTGCACACCTACAGCAGATTCCAACTACAGAAAACATTTAAGAGGACCTCTTTAAGCAAAGATTTATCATTCTAAGCTTGCCATACAAAATCAGATGGACTCAAGCTCATTCTTCCTTAGACATTAGTTTTGTTAACCCAAAATTGATATACCTCGCCCTGGATCTCTGCCTTCTGTAGTTTTCACATTTTTCTTCCATTTTTTAAATATTACAGAAGCCTCTCAATATCCTCAGTCACAGTACTCTCTGGCTAGATATCATTTTATAGTACATACCTGTTTTTTTTAGAATCAAAACATTCTAAAAACTGGCAAGATAAATATTTTAATTTTGAACCTAATTCTCATGCTCTTTATGGCATTCACTGAAAACGGGGTTTTGGAAGAAAGAAAAAAAATGACAAGGACTTTTGTATGCATCCAAATGTTTGAAAGAAAAGAGTCCTTTTCACCCAAACACTTGGATGTATACATTTTTTCACATCTGTAAGTAACCTCTTTACATGATATGTACGCTTCGAGGAACACAGTCCATTTTCACCATAAAAAGAAACTTGACATTGATCACATCCAATGAAAAATTACATGGTTACGAAAGATTAAAACCTGCCAGATAGTCAAGTAATTAAAAGAAAAAAAAGAAGAGCTGCCAAGAAATCAGCGCCTAAACTACAGAATTACATCCTTTAAGATCTGCACAAGACATTCAAAGTATCACTTGATTACACTGAAGAAAAAACATTTAAGTAATTTAAGTAGGTGTGCAAATACCATTTCCCTGACTGAGCTGGTCATGAAGCAGCATACTGGGCCACTTATAAAGGAGATGGGTAAGGCCACAGATTATGCAGCTAGACAGTCTGTGTAAATCTGCTATCTACTGCAAAACAGCTTCAGCTGAATTTGAAAAAAAACAAATAATGCCTGTAAATTTTGGGGTGGAACTCCTTTTGCCTCCTTTTACCTGTTGATACGTGGTTTAATCTAATTATCCAGCCTCTTTTAAGAAGTCCATGAAGCAATACAAGCGCCTCCTGAATCCAAGCAAACCTAAATATCTTAACGTGGAATGAATCAGATGGTGGACACAGCTGTTTTTCTGCAACAGCTATACATGAAACCTAAATGAATAGTTCAGGATAGATGCGTACCATTTAGATAAAATCAGTGAGGTGAATTACCCCCAAATGTTTGGAAATCTGTACCGGAAGGGGTGACTCTAGTGCATTTTTATGTGTAGCTCAATAATTTTTCCCACTGATTTACCAAAAGTAAACATCAAATCAGTTTGCAGGTAAACAAACAAAGTCTTCACATTCCCATATCCTATAAAATATCATCTAAGAAAAATAACGTAAGACAAAACAAAACAAAACAAACAAACAACACTAAACCTTATCCACAGGAGCACACAGCATTTAATACAACCGAAGGGAGTATTATCAGACAGCTTTTGCAGCTCACAGCAACGTCTGTGCTGCCACTGCCATGTTGTTAGTAAACTCTATTATAATCAAGTTAGATATTTCTACACAAAGTACCTTACTATATTTCTTTATTCAGAAATATACTAAATAAAGAGTTTATTCACTACACTGCGTGCATCAATTCTTTCTGGAACATCAGAGATGTTAAGTAATAAAATATACTTACCACGTTACGTGAAAAGCTTGTCGACATCCATGTTTATTACATGTCATACAAGCACCAGTGGCTGCTTTACTTTCTCTGCCTTGTTCATCACAAATATAGCATGTCTACCAAAGAGAAAATACTTAACATGATAAGAAGCATACAAATACATTCTGTGTTACTCACAGGAGATTCTAGTGTGAGAACCACTGGATTTTGCAGCTAAGCTTATATAAGAACTTCTTTATAAAAGTCTGATTATGTTTGTTTGCAAAAGGAGATCACCTGGTAGACACCTGGGATCTGTGTAACACTTCACAAACACTAAAGCAGTACAAATACTAATTTACTTAAATTCTATATGACTATTCAACTAGCCAAACAGCCAAAGGTTAATAGCATTAGGCTTCAAGATTTTCCTTGCTTTCAAGTTTGTGTTTATGTCCTTCTAGGTCACAATCATTTCCACATTCATTTAACATTACCTGTATCGGTGGCATTCAGAAATATCAAATTAGACTGAGTGCCTAATGGTACAGGATACCATACAGTATACATGCATATGTCTACAAAATTACACAAAGAAAAACTGCAAACTTAAAATTTTATTTGTACATTTGGTGTAAAGAATTTTCAGAAGTCTTATAGCATGCTTCAATATTTATATGATGCTCAGTTACCTTTAATTATATATGGTGTTTAACAGAACTCTGCTTTAATTTCAGCACGAATTGGACAACCCCATAAACACCTTAGAAACTAATCAAGCAAGAACCTTCTGTAAACAAAGCTTAAATTAGTATAATCAAGCCCATTTCAGGCTCAAAAACAAGCTAAAATGAAAACACCCTGTCTAGTACCTGAAAATCTTTTCACAGCATTTCTGTCAATTTATTTGTTTTACTGGAATACTAGAGCAATTTGTAATATTTTCAAAAACATTCTCAGTAAAATGCAAGAAAAAAAGAATTAAGAAGAATCCAAAATTTTTCTCATTATTCAATACTTTTTTTTTTTTAATATGTGGCCAATAAACATGGATACATGCTGTATGGAAGCTCACTATTATACTAGACATCACTATAATCTCTCATCAGCATTTCAGGGAGAAACATCAGGCAAAACTAAATCTCTTTCCATTTTTTTACTGTCCTAATTACTGAAATGCTGTTTAGAGAGATTCTATCATATCATTTTTATGTGTAAAATTTAACAGTTTAAGAATAGATTCTTAGTGAAAGTATCCTCCAGCACTGGGGCAGTCAAGTGTCTGTTTTTAAATGAAAGAGAACCATATTGAGGTAACAATCATCAACAACACACTGCTACCTCTGCAGAAATCCCATTACAAAATCTTAGATGAGAAAAAAGAAATTTCCCCCTCTAAAAAAAAATTGTCTACACTTAAACTGTAACTGACTTATTGCAATTGTATCACAACCTCCCTTCAGTGAGGCAGAGAATGAGTAGAATAATAAATAAAAAGAACATCAACGATGGGTAGTAGAAAATCCAGTTTAAGAAAAATGGACCAAGATACCACTGAAATTAAAAAGGATATAATGTAAAACCAGTATTACTTAGAAAGACATGAAAATGAGTGAAATTCTGAGATCAGAACAGCCTTTAACAGAGGTATTTAGAACAACATTTAACATGAGATATCAGCTAACTACAGCATTTTTGTTAACATGCAAGACTCTAGGGTAGGTGAGTCATTCTTGTATGGTTTCCACAAGACTTTTTAAAAAGCATTAAACCCAATAGCTAATATATCCTAAAATCATACCCTATATTGAAGGATATATTTGAAGGATCAGAAAGGGGATAATCCTACTTAATTCTTTGCTTTGCTCCCTTTGTACATCAAGGTAGCGCACACAGATAATTCAGTTGTTTGACAGGTCTGAGACTGGCTGCTTTTTAGCTTTCCATACCATGACCTGACACATTTAGATTTTAGGAACAAACAAGGTCATGATCTATCAACCTCATCTGAGTAACTATATTAAGCGTAAGTAAATTCAAAATCAAGGTACCTCTATAAATAGAGGGTTCAACAGACCCCATAAAACTCAAGCTCCTGTTACTGTTCTGTTTTTGCCAAGTTTTGTCTTAAGTTCTGGAATTTTTTTTCCCTCACTGAAGCTCAGAAAGAAAAGCAATATAAGCATTCCATTTAGGAAGGATGTAGGCCCTGTTTTTCACCACTACATATTACATTTAGGGTCTGTGTTTCAGGACCCCTTAAACCAATTTACAGTAAAATGACTGAAAAATTATAACAAACGACCAGCTACATTACAAACAAGTTTGAACACAACATGGTGGACTGCCTACCCGTTTTAACAAGCTCAATGAACTTCTATCCTTCCTACAATAGTCGTGAGAAGTATAAAACGTGTTTCCTAATCTTCCACACGAAATGGAGCCAAAGAAGGTTCATCTTCCCGTTCCAACATGGACGGTAAGTTCTCTCTAAAGCTGAGCTTCTCATACTTCTACCTTCTCTTAGACACAGAAACAATTCCAGAAGCCTGAGAACCTTTATCTTTCTTTCACAAAGCAGAAAACTGAAGACTTCCATGCATTTGTAAATTCAAGCAATTGCTACACCTGCTCTGAAACCTCTGGAATGTGGAAGTGTAAAACTCTGTGTCCCACCACCTACAGCAGGGCTGCTCTTCAGAGCTCTGAAGGGAAAAGAGTACTTAGACTTCTTCCAAACTCATTGGAAAACAAGCAAAACATTACACAAAGCTTTTTACTCAGCAAGGAAATTTTACTCAAAAAACACAACAAATAGTTTCTTTAATGGCAAAATATACATTTTGCAAAGCTGCCTTTATGTTTCTGTCAATATTTTTTCTTCAAAGATTCAAAATGTAAACCTTCTTTGCAAAAGTAAAGACAGAAGGGAAGATGAGGCAAGAAAACCCTTATAAAACAAAAAGCAATTTGAGAAATCATTTACTCTACTTGTAACAGCTACCCAAGAGCATTCCCTGCTTATAGAATCAAACCTAGGAGTTGTGCAGAAATTTCTCATTGTTGCAGCAAGCACTGAAATAAGTCTAACAGCTGCCTTTACTACTAGGCGGATCAAGAAACTCCAAATGCAGTTATTTTTTAATCAGCTCTTAAAAGAAATTCCTCAAAGCAGTAATTATATTCAATTACCACATACTTTCAAATGAACCTCAAATAAAGCTCATATAAAATAAATAGAGATTATCCACGCATAATCATTCAAGGAATAACAAACATCTACTAAATAGGAGAGCAACTACTAGTCCATTTCTTTTTGGAAGCAACTGTGTAAGAAGAGCTTTCCTGTTAGTCAACGCACTATCAAGTCATTCAGTGGATTCATTCTGTGATGTGATGGTTTTTATCCCAGAAGCAGGTAAACTTCAGGGAAACAGCAGCTAAATGTCTTTACACTGACAAGCCTCATGCGTCGGCGTCTGCTGCGTTTCTTCTTGCATTTAAGATTACTGCACTTTATAATATTGCATATGTTGCAGTGTTCAATAAGGAAACAAGTGCATAGAAAAAAATGTGTAAATTAAGTACTATCTCCTGGCAAAACTCCAACAACATTTGTTTCTATTTTAAAGACTACAGTATAAATTTTCCCTTATGGTAATTTTCATTGACCTGTATTTTCCCTCAATTCCATATGCTAGCCTTCCATATGTATCCAGCCACATACGCGGAATTATTTAGGACTTCACAGGAAATAAAATCTTTCTTAAAATCATCCTATTCCAAATTGAGTTGACAGACAGAATGAAATTAGCACTAGACCACTCTAAAAGGAGAAACAACTCTAATCATTTTTTCCTAATTACATGTTTACATTTGTTCACAATGCACAACAAATGTTTTAAGAACGGTTTGCCATATCTACTTCCCAGAAAAACAGCTTTTCTTTCCCATTTCCTCCCAAACTGATAAAGTCATAGTTAAATGCTTTACAAAGTTTCTGATCTAAAAAATGTATCATTTAAATAAAAACAATTTATACTGAATAGCAACGGGGGTGGGGAGGTGAAGTTATTGCAGGCTACCTGAAAAGGGAATTAGTAGTTGTATTGGTTTTGGGGGTGTTGCTCAAAACCAGCCTGCTCAGGAACTGGTGGCAGTTTAGCCACAGCAGTACCAAACTCAGCACTGGCTACAGATTTATCAAAAAGGTTGGGAGACTCCCCAGTCAGTAACTGCATCTTAAATTCTGTGCTGTTACAACTAGACTGCTGTTGGCAGTGAAGTTAGATTGGTCTCACGAGGTTTGCCGCAGCAACTGCATATAGGCATTTGATTCCCCTGAAATCCACAACTGCTACCTCCCTGAACCATATAGACCAAATAAAGACAAGAAAAACTGCATTCTGTAAAAAGAGAAGGGAAAAAACAAATAAATAATTTGCAGGCTAGGGGTATGACCCCAAACTTTGAAATTTCTGATACAGGTCTCATTATATTTTACAATCTACTGTAGTGGTCTGTATAAAAGTAGGTTTAGGCTGACTGTTATCATGGAAAATAGGCCTGAATCACAACACCCACCCAAAACCACAGAAAATGAAAAGCTAGACACCATCAGGAACTTTATCTACATGATCTGTATGGCACTAGTAATTATCTAGCAAGCAAAAAAAATCATGGTAACTACAGACCAACAAAATGCAAACTGGAATTTTTGTAGTAAAAAACAACTATACATGTATATTTGGAAGAAAAACAGTTCAAGAAAGAAGCAACTTTAGTTGTAACAAAAAGGAATTCAAGACTAAAGTCACAGACCAACAATGGACTTTGTGAACAAGTAATATTAAAAGATGCATCATATATTTTTTTACGTTACAAGGATTTACTCATCCAATACCAATTACCACCAGTGGAAATGGTGCAAGATAAAACAAAATCCAAAGTGTTCCACAAAATTTTTTGAAGTACATTAGCAAAGAACCACTACCAACAAAAAAAACCATGGACTACTACTCAAGGAAAAATGAGAAAACAGATGTGCTATTGGCCCAGAGTTGAGGAGAGAGAGAAAATAAACTCATCTGCCACAGCAAATCTGTACTGCTTTGTGTCCAAGCACAAAAATTTTATTAGTTCTGCACTTAATCTCACTGTTGCATGTTCTTGCCAAGGCAGAAGAAAGCCAATAGTGAGGAGCCAATACAGATGCTCAGGTAGTACGCAATGAGAAAGCATGAGAAGAACCTAGATTTTGACTCCCGGCTTTTCAGATACACTGGTAAATAAGATTGGCAAAACATACTGACAGCAATTGTGAGAATGTGAAACAGATAAGGAAAAGACTGAAGTGTGAAAAAAGAAAAAAGGATAGGAAAACAGGAGGGGGGCATGTAAATCATAGATGGGGGGGGGGGGGGGGAAAAGAAAGACGCTTTCCCATGAG